TGTAACTATATTTGCTTTATATTTCCAACCCCCCAATTCCATCCATTTCTGAAAATTACAGCAAAAGCAAATGATGTATATTCCCTTTAACATTGATTGATTTTGATTTTGGAAAGAAGTTGTGGAGTTCAACGCAAGTATTTTTATGAGCTCCCAAGATGACTGTTACATTATTGACAGTTTGTATGGTGAAGAAAGCAATGAGTACTTTTACGGTTTGAAATTATGTTGTGTATGCCGTTATATAAGATTACTAGCTATAGCCATATACACCGTCATATTCGCTCACAAAAACGATTCCCATTACACTTACTAGTAATTATATTTATTTTCAGAAGTATAGCTAAACATTTAATTGTAAACAAGACCGTGCGTAGCTTGTATTATTCTTTGACAAAATTAGTAAAGTACTATTTTGGTTTGTGATTCATCTCCTTTCACACAATATCACAAGAGGTGAACGATGTCATTCCCTGATCAATCTAGGGACGGGAAGAAGTTTTTACTGATTACATTGTAAAATTAAGGTTTTTTATCTTTTAGACTGTAATTTGTTTATGTTCAGGTTTTCAATAAATATATCAATCATTTGAATGGAATCTCCATACAATTTCCCGTGTGAGTGTTCAGTTAAAAAAATATGATGTCATTTCAGCATATTATTAATATATTATTCATTTCATTGATGGAGTAATTCAGTGTGCTCTAATGACCAATGTGCCAAAAACGAAATGGCAATTTACTTACAATCATTTTTGGGAGGAGGAGGGATTTAAAAAAAAAAAAAAAAGGGAAAAGGAAAGGGGGGTTCTTGAATTTCGAAAATGCATAATAAGAAAGTGTATATCAAGAAAGTGTGGAAGAGCTGTTTGGAGGGATTGAGGGTAACTCTTCATCGTACAGTTTTTTTTAAAGATTGTTTTGGAGGAGCGCTTGAACTCCCTCCTGTAAGAAAAATTTCACTCAATAATTCATTTTCCAAAGTAAACAAAGTGAAAGCACAATGCGCGTTTACCCGTCTGACAGTAAACGCGCCGCCATTGTTCGGCCGCGCATTCGTGCACAAACACGGCGCGATGTCCTATCCAGTCTGTGTATATGGAGATCAATGTGGAAAACTAATAAATATATAGTGCCCACGTATCATAAAAGTATCGTAGAGGGCGCTTAATGTGCGTATGCGGATGTTGTTTGGTGCTGGAAAAACAAAATTTGCGGGCTCGGCGTGGTCTCCTCTAGCCGCGTGCCAAACGAAACATTCACTTCTCAACGTCGTAATCTACAATTCAAGCACATGTATTTGTGGTGTTTTGTCTGTACAACTTCACATTTCCGTCAAAACAAAACAGGCACTGTATTTTCTTTGCGAAATGTTGGAGACTTTGTTTCCCTTCGGTTAACTCCACGCACGTGATTACGATTTTGGCACTTGGTATGTGGGGTGAAATTGTGTTGTTTGTACTGCACTACGTGCAGCGTGCGTGGAGGACGCAAAATCCAATACACGTGACGTTAGTCAGTTGGTTCCGCCCCTGAATAGGCAAGACCTCGCGGTACATACAATGCGGCAACAGTGAATTTGTGGTTTGCGGTTTTTCATGGGAGCGCTTTAGCGACGGTTTGAAATTGTAAGGGATGGACTTTAGTTACAAAAGCGGTACTTCAAAAGAATATCGCGATATTTTTCGGCATATCGAATTTCACGATGTGCCGATTTTTTTTATGAGATCGATACGATTTCCGATATGAAATTCTAATCGAAATATCGTGAAACATCGTCATACCGAACAGGCTTGGTACTGGGCCTAGTTAATATCGTATTTCAAACTATTTTTAATCCCCGTTCACAGTCCATACAATATCTTCCCGCAATCATGTACATGAAAATGCCCATGCATCAAGTCAGGTCATGATTGAGTCAAATTCCCACAAAAGAAAATCACACAAAGGATTAAAAAACCGTAAACAAGTTCTTTTATTCCCGGAACAAAAAGGTCTGGTCGAACGTTTATGGCAATTTCATTTTTTTCATTGTGGTATACACCTGTACACCTTGTGGCTACCAGCCTCGGGAGCTTTTCCATCAATTGGCTATCAGGTCCCATTACCACCTGCAACCTACCATGTCACGCTCAACCAAACCCCAACCCCCCTCCAGCTATGAAATCAACTGGGCATTTATAATTACAGTTACCCACCAACCCCTTTTCCCCCAAACCACTACATGCACCACTCACGTCTTTTGATGACAACTTAATTCATCATCCCTATTTTTTTTTTTTTTTGTGGCCACCGCAGTCACGCATCTGTCCTTCAGGTGAAGTATACACACAGGCCGACCATAAAAAAAAATAAAAAGTGCATTCTTCCCCGGCAAAATTGGGAAATATTGTGTGCACACGCACACAGGAAAAGCTTGACGTGGTTCTGAATCGATCCCCTTCAGCAACAGGTCAGGGTATTTTGCAGCAGTGCAACCAGTCAAAGAACAAGGTGGAAATATGGATGTCACTCCTGTTACATTTTATAGTCCCATTTTTTTTTTAATTGGGCCATCCTTTTGCCGCAATTAGGTTATAGCGCAGCAATTTGTAATAGAAGGAGGGGGGGGGGGAGGGGGGACTGACGACCCTCGTACAATAGACAACAAAATTAGCCTTCTGGGGGTCCTTGCCCCACTTCTGCTCAGGAAATTTCCACAAAATTGCAATATTGCGCGCGGAGGTGACTAGAGTGCCTTGTCATTTGTTAAGTTTGATGTTCCAACTATTTCAGGTAATAGTGCAACATGAGCCATTTTTTTAGCGTGGGAGCACTCAGATGGATCACTTCTCAGCCCCACATATGCATCCAACCCCTACCCACGTTAAAACGTGGAGTGCGCATGGCGTGTTTCAATTTGACTACGTGCGCTGAATCGAAATTCGTACTGGATGAAAGGTTTCTGGCGTGGAGTATCATACATTCGACTACTTTTACCTCAAAATCCGAGTACGAGCAAAATGTTGCGAGTGCAAGTAAAGTGTTTGCACAGTTTTTAATGGGGGGAAAATTCTCCGCAGAGCAATGAAGATGAACTGCCTTAAACCCACCCGTCATTTTTGCCCAATGGCAAGTTGGCAACGGTTTCAATTTCCACACGATGTTCACAATTGTGGACTTCTCCTTCAATCCACAACTTAACTTGTCTAGGCAGTCAGTGAACTGGCAGGATCGCGGCCGACGACCGACGACCGACGTTCCTTTTTTACTTCCCGGATCTCTGTCTAGATCTCATTTATTACCGGGTGCTGAATGCGGATGTAGTCATGAAGTGGGGCTTAACCGCCTATGCAGGGGGATATTAAAAGCCATTTAACACACGAATGGTGCAGATGGGCTCGTTCGTTATGGATTCCAGGCGACAAGATGAATAGTCATATCTCTTCTTTTTCTTTGCAGAGTGATCATTTGAGGTACAAAAACTGTAAGCACGAATAATGTGATAACCCGGCAGTCGACAAGCAAAGCAGCTGCACGGGGCAATATGATATTCTGAAGTCCGTGACATCTTGATTGAGGTTCTAAATGAGAAAACTCATTAAAAGTCTTGAGCTTTACAGGGAAACCCCAGCTGCAGGTGCGAACAGTTGAATAATTGCTGAGCCCCTGCTAGCTACAATTCGCAGAGTGAATGACGGATTGATGTTCACTTGTTTGCCGTTATAAAGTAAGGCTGGTATCTGCGAGGCATCTGCGGAAAAAAACTGTGCTGCCTAACGTTGTTTCGTTGAAAAAGAAGGTGAACACCGAAAAATTATTAACCCTAGGGGTGGAGGGGTGGAGGGGTGGAGGGTGGAGGGTTGGAGAGGTGGAGGGTTGGAGGGTTGGAGGGGTGGAGTGTTGGAGGGGTGGAGGGGTGGAGGGGTGGAGGGTTGGAGGGGTGAAGGGGTGGAGGGGTGGAGGGGTGGAGGCTGGAGGGTTGGAGGGTTGGAGGGGTGGAGGGTTGGAGGGGTGGAGGGGTGGAGGGTTGGAGGGGTGGAGGCTGGAGGGTTGGAGGGTTGGAGGGGTGGAGGGTTGGAGGGGTGAAGGGGTGGAGGGGTGGAGGGGTGGAGGCTGGAGGGTTGGAGGGTTGGAGGGGTGGAGGGGTGGAGGGGTGGAGGGGTGGAGGGTTGGAGGGGTGAAGGGGTGGAGGGGTGGAGGGGTGGAGGCGTGGAGGGTGGAAGGGTGGAGGGGTGGAGGGGTGGAGGGGTGAAGTGTTGGAGGGGTGAAGTGTTGGAGGGGTGGAGGGGTGGAGGGGTGGAGGGGTGGAGGGTGGAGGGGTGGAGGGTTGGAGTGTTGGAGGGGTGGAGGGGTGGAGGGGGGAGAGCAAAGCTACACTTCTTTTTTCTTACAATGGAAAACATACATGTACCGGTACGACATACAGAGACTTACAATGGGGGTTTGCAAAACCCGGACTTAGATTTCAGCTTCGACTTATGTGACAGTATCTGGCGTCTCTGTACTCGAGCCTGTCAAGTCATAGGACTAAAATCATGAAGATATTGCCTAAAGCCCAATGGCAACAGAGCCCAGATTTCATAAACCCCTAAGCCTACAGCACAGAGAAAGAACCTCTCATCACATTTTGTCCCAATCATCAACACCAGGAAGTCAATAATTTGTGATGAGCCGTTTTTTAAAAACTACATAATACTATAAGTATAAGCTGCGTGTATTTGGGGTTGCTTTGTCTATTTGGGTTTTTCACGCTGTTGTTATCAAGCAGCAAAAGTAAGGTGCCTACAGTTTGTACATGTTCAACATCTGGCCAATGGCCTTACAATAAGGGATGTAAATGGCAGCCTGAATGAAGGATGTGCTTGTAAATCACGTCGTCAAAGGGCAAAATCCAATACTGAAAGTTACTTCGACCAGACAGACGTTAGAAAAACTCCATCAAAAGTCAAAACACACCAAACCTTAGAACGATAAGAAAATTTGAAAGGTTCGACAATGAAGATGATTAGCGGTGTACATGTTTCTCCAGTTTTGATTACCCAAGACATTCTTATGATCACCATTGGGATAACCAATTCCTTCAGCTCCACCCTCCTGAGGGGAAGCTGCATACTCAAGATGCCGCTAATAAGAATTGGGGGAGACATTTTCATGAGAAAAGAAAAGGAAAACACCGGAACGTCTTTCCGCTCCTGATCTGGGAAGACAGCTCCAGGAATTATCTGGATCCCGCGAGATGGTTAAGAAGTCGGCCAGGAGAGAACAACTATTCCGAGCATCTTCCGACTCTGTCAACGTCCCCGCTGGACGTGCGTGGCAAAGGAGGGGGCGGGGGAGGACATTTTGATTCAAGGGTAGCCGGCAGACAAGTCGGCAGGGTCCAGAATCCTCCCGAGGGTTGACCGTCGTATTTTATTATTAATTTTTTCTGCCAGGGCCCCGGACAAGAAGGCACGCTTCTTTCAATATTTCCCCCAAATGGCCCACACAGCTGTTCATTGCCGGGGAAAAACAAAACACGGCGATGCACCGAGCCGTAATGAACAGCTTTAATTGAATTTTTGATGCCACTGCCCTGTTGGCTTTTTCCCCTTTAATGTTTTGAAAATCTTTCAGAACAAAAGCACCATTGTGGGCTAAATGTAAGGGTGTTTAGATCATCTACATTTTTTCTTCCTTTTTTTTAATTGAGAAAGACAGAAAAGTGGCTAACTTCACGCTTTAAGACCCTGCCATCTCAACACTAGCAAGTTTTACTTCAAGCCTGACGGGTGCGTTTTTCAAAATGCATCCACAACATGCAATTGTGATCAAAACATTGCGACCTCCCACGCAAAGGTCAAGCAGAAATGAAAGACGTGCACTGACTGCTGCTGGCGTCATTAACTTGTACACTCAATGTTTTATTTAACTGTTGAGGATTTATTGCTCGTATCATCATCAGTAATGATCAAGATTGTCTCCTCCCTCCCCCACCGCGCCATTCCATGCACAGGAAGCATGTCTCCACTGCTCATTACAAAATAGCGCCCCTCTGTACCATTCTTCATCAAGAATTAATGAGCAAGACGACAGTCTTTAATTACAAGGCTTTTTACTCACGGCTAAGGAGGACGGCTGTTTCCATGCAATCAGACCAACGCCGCCGGTCAGTAGCACCTGTAAAGCAAACAAACACAACAGGTTTCTAATTAAACATCAGTTTGTTTGATTTTGTATGGTTCGGTATGATTAGCCACTTCCTTTGTAGAAGTCTTACTAATTCTAATTTCTTTCCTTATTCATCATCATGGGTGCATTCACTGTATAACAAGAGAGGTAAAAATAAAAGCAATACAGATTACTTTGTAATAAAAGCCATCCTTTCTATTAGACCTCCCCCCCCCCCAAAAGACAACTTCTGCATCCTGTTACCCCGACAGACCCTATTTTTACAGCCTTACCCCTACACGCTTGTGAGGTGTTGTGACGGAACTTGGCACAGGCAGCAGTATAGAAAAATGCCAAAACCAAATGGGGCTGATTTTTTTCGCTTTTCAGATTTATTGATTTTTGTAATCTTTGATATGTCTACTACACATACATGTATTTTAAAGAAATAGTATAAAAATAGTGAAATAAAAGAGTTTTTAAGGAAAAACAGTTGGCATCTTGCATTTTCACGAATACAAAACTCAAGGCCTTTTTTTCAGTAGTTTACTTTTTTGACAAATCGATAAATGCGAAATTTAAACAGCCATAACTTGCCATCGGAATGTCGAAATAAAGTGCAACAAACAGTATTGTAAGGCGAATTTTATTCTTTTTCCTGATACCCGCAACAACCCCTCATATCGACCTCTGTCCGGTTCTCTCTCATTTTACCAGACGAACGCCTCACATTTTAACGGCAAGTTGAAAAAAGTTTGCACAAAATGGCGTTCACATTGAACACTCTGACTTTACAAAAATGCTTCTCATCCACCTTTTTGGATAAAAAATTGCACACATGTATAACAATTCTGCTGTGTCTGCTACTATTCAATTTATTTTCAGTGTTATATAAAAATCCTTAATCTTCCAAAAAGGCGTACCTGGACCCTCCCTTATTTGGAAATTTGAATCCTGGAATCCGATTTGGAAGGATGTGCAAAAAAGAAGGCCTGGATTGAGGCGGGGGAAGAAGTGGAGGTTCCCGTAAGAGGATTGTAAGATAATACGGGGATGAAGTACGAACTGGAAGGATTTCAAATGTCACTATATGCTGGCAAACATGTACCAGAAATTGCAAATACAATTACGGGTGCATGTGTGAGATTTATTTTTCAGACGCTTGATTTTATTTTTACATTGTTGACAAAATGCTCTGCAAATATGCTCCTTTTTTTCACAAATTCTTCCCAATCACTCTATGAGGGGCATGGTCACATTCTCTGTGGGTTCTAAGTCTGTACAATTGTGTTGCTGCAGTGTTGGATTGCAGTGTGTCTGAGACAAGTTTGTTGTTGCACATGTAGCACAATTTTTTTTTTTACATACCCATACCAGGTTGAACCTGAATAGTGTTTCAACCAGTTCACCATTTCTTGTTCCGTAGTTGTGGGGACATACATGTACAACCGTCTGTGCGAGGTATTTGTGGGGACTGAAAACGCTGTGAGGACAGCTGAAAGTCCCCATAACTCGGTCCTAATTTGCCTAACAATAAAAAACTTCCCCATAACGTGGTGTAGGCCTACCCACGTCGGATGACGTGTACACATTGTACACGCAAAGGTTTTGCGGTATTCGGAATGGCTGACGGATAAACACGCAATGAGCGAGGCCGGAAATATCTGTCTGTGACCCACTCACAGCGAGCGAGGCCGGAAATATCAGGGCGTGCTACCCACAGATGACGGCCTGAACTTGTCTCAGGCATCGAGGTTCGTGCAAAACAATCCCATGCCTGGGTCCGGTCAATGTCAGAATACAGTAATCCCGGCGCAAACTGGTTAAAAGAATAAAAGTTCAGCAAGTTGCACGCCACATTTGTTCAATTCAAGGCAATATTTTGACATTTTTACAACAACTCTTGAGGGGTTCATATAATGTTACCACACTTGGTTGTGACCATGCATGGAGGAAGAATCATCCATGCAACAGAACAGGAAAATTGTGAAATTGTGAGGCTTAAACTACCGGTAGGACTGAAAGAAATGCCATTTTCCGTTACCCTTCCCCAAAATGAAACATGCAACCAAATACCAGGCTACAGCAAAACTAATGTGATTTTGATCTATAATCTGTACTTCATTTGGCACACTACACGATAACAAGGCCAATACATTAGGGGAGGGAACCCTGCCAATTGCTCTGACAGAAGCAAAATTGACCCTTCCTGCCCATGTTCCCTGGCTCTTATATTCGGGAGACCCTGCTAGCCCAGCTGGGTGTGAGTATCAGTCATATCCCATCACTTGGTGTCATTTATAAGCCGGTCCCTTCCCAATTACCAAACCTAACGATCTGTATCCTCTCTGGCAGGGGACCGGCCCTGTCTTGTCTGGTTTCCGCACCCCTTGTACATTATACGTACACACAGTGTATACATGTATGTACATGTACATGTACAAAGTACCAGGTACTTACATGTACATGCATAATGTATTTTGCAGTTTTGAACCGTGGCTTTTTGAACTATACATGTACAAATGTACATGTAAATGTAGTCTACTCCAAGTACAGAATCAATATAAATGCAGTTTATGTTCGGTTATGCCATGGGGCCCATCTGCAGGGTATGATGCACTGTACATGTACCGTACTATCACTTTTAGCATATTGTACATAAACATGTGTTTTGCAATACTTTTTTATGTACCATGACCATTCAGCTTTTTCTTTTCCTTCTTAAAACAGACACATTGCTGTTTGCATGCATTGCTTTCTGAAATCTTTAATCACATCAGGTTGTTAAGATTGTGTTTTTTTTTCCCTTTTTCAAAATACAGTGCTTTCACATATGGTGTTCATTTGCCTCTAAAGCCCAACTAAAACAATGTTTGTGAACTTTATACATTGTAAATTGTCAAAGAGCACTACTGTACAAGTTCAAATGTAGGTGTTTATTCTTGTTGTAAAAGATTTTTTTTAGCTGCCTTGAACTTTTTTTGACAAGCTACACTGTCTCTGTCTACAGAGTGCAAACTTTTCAATTACATTTACATTTATGTTCAGTTTTCAAATTGCAATGATCCAACAAAACATTCGTGAGAGCAGCAAACATCAACCTCTAGTGCGACCGACAAAAGAAATGAACAGTGCTTTCATTCAAGGGCAAAGCACTTGCAGTTTCAATGCACTATCAAGCAGGATACATGTCTGAAAAATACATTACAACAGATATATATACAAAGTGCCCAGGTTTCAATCAACGATCCGGTTGCAAAAGGTTCAATCATGGTTCAGTGATCGCACAGTGGATACAAACGAACGCTCTTCATTTTGACAGGCACACGGTAAACACGAGCGGACAGCAAAAGAAATGATAGCAGGGAATGTGGAAATTCCACCGGTACTCCGCTCCAGTCCCCTCCCCCTTTGAACGCTCATTAATGGCTTGCAAAAGATAGCGACTTAGTAAAATGGAGATCAACTGGCGAAGGAGGGAGGGAGGGGGGAAATGATTGACAGCGCTACGTCCAGAGGAACTTGAACTTGGGATCTGGAGAATGGATTGAATGTTGGGTACTAATTGCCCGGTGAAAGGGACACCGATGACGGACAATCACAGATGTTCTGCTCAACCAAAACATGATCAACATTTTCACGCTGAGAAAAGAGGCTGGGTTTATTTCTGTCTGATGTTGGAATCCACGATACACAAGACATCTTGCCGATCTGTAAACTTCATTAAACTCTCAGTATTTTCTCACATGGTGTGCAATCTGTCAATCTTGGGTCACACTCATTAACAGAAAAAGGAAAGTAAAAGAAAGGTTTTTGTGGGATTTAATTAAAAACATCTCTTTGTCCAAATAAGCCAAAAAGTAACAGTTGATCAGAATTGCATGTAAGTAGATATCAGTACAGTACATATTATACGTGTGAATCTGATTCAAAAACATTGAACGGACTTGTTTGGACTTAAAAATTCAATGGTCCAACTTAAAAACAGCAAGATACAAACTGTAAAAGGCATTTTCAGGCAGAAATGCAAAAACATAAAAGAAGAAATTTTGTAATCTCTTTTCAAAACAGGTTTAATACTACGGATAGGCACACATACATTTATAGTGTGCAAACAACAGTACCACATTTAGCACAAGAAAATTTAGAAATCTTTCTAGCCCTTTAGAAAATACTTTATGCCGCAAACAATTTAAAAAAAAAAAATTCTTGTCCATTTTAAGGTACAAGTTCCCACCTTCACGTTCCCCTTGCACTTTCACCAAGAAAATAACAACCAAATTTAATTGAAACTCAAGAACTCATTTGGCAAATGGTTCTCCAAATAACGACGATTTAGTCGTCTTCTTTTTCCCTTTTTATCAGCTGCACTTTTCTGCGAGTAAAATAGAGCATCAAGAAATCTATCTGATGCTCTAGTTTTTTTTCCTTCAAATCAACCTCTTTTCTCTCCGCTAAATTGTCCCCAGGGGGGAACTGTAGACGAAATCTGCATGACCCCTGTGTTTTTTAATTTTTGCTCTCAGTGTGCGGCGAGCGCAAGAAACGGACAGCACGCGCAGGAAGAGAGACTTGTGTGAACAGTTGTGTATCCAAGAGGGAGCTCCGCCGAAGACTTGGCTGGCTGGTGGGGAAGAAAAACGTGTTTCTCCCTGTGTACGGTATATTATCAAGTTTTCATACTTAAGGTCACTCTTTGCTTTGTCTTAACCTACTGATGGCGTTAGCTTAAAAACTACATGTACACATGTACAATATGAAAGTACCGGTATTGATGGGGGTTTTGGGATTCTGTGCTTGTCAATCTCTTTGTGTGTATGCGAATCAAGTGCAAGCACAATATTCATTAATACAATAGATTATATTTTACTAAACTGTGACTTTATTAAAGTCTAACTCCCTAGGCATTTTTGCTAGGATGCAACCTCAATCCTGCAAAATCCTCCAAAAGCCTCCATGTAAATCTTGCATGTAGCATAAATCCTCCAAAATCATCCATTATTTCTTGA